TAGATGTGTAAACAGAAATCATTTAGAAGTAATTGAGGTAGCTATAGCTTGTTAGTGTTGCTATTGTTAAAAAGTAAAAGTACTGGAACAAAAGCTAGCTAAGTTTGCTAGGTCAGCGAAACAGCATTTATGTACAATATTTTACAACATGAATGAAATTCCAAGGCCAGCTAGCGTCTGTTCAAACAAGAAGAAATGCGGACTAATTACTAGTTTTCTAGTTTTAAAGCAAAGCAAATTTATTTCGATTCCATATCCGAAACTCAGCTGTTGCCACTATTTAACCAACAGACTAATGAACGTTATATTCGCAAAATACATGTGGGTAAAATGCAATTAAAGCGAGGCACATCTGTAAGAAGGTGCTAATGTTAACGGATGTCATACAGAGTAAAAAGAAAGCTTAAATTAAAAGATAAAGTAAAGTTAATAGCCATTATTCTGAAAACTAATGATTTTTCTAAAAGTCAACAATTGAAGTTAAGCGCTCCCAGTTAAAAAGAGTCAGTGGCAAATAGTTTTGACAGCTGTATATACTGTTGGCTTTTTGTAGAATTATTGCGATAACGAGCACTAAGTAATCAAACGTTAGATAAAGTGGCACAAGCCTTCAAAATGTAAGTCAATAAAGTGTTCTTGTACAAAATATTATTGCTAAAGCGATTTGTAAAGCAAAGTGAAAAGCAGCAAGGCTATATCAAGCGAGGATGGCTCAAATTAAGGTCAGAGGAATGTTAGGAAGTAAATTCAAGTTATAGGTAATCTTGATTTCCATAGGGTTTTACTATAGTGGCGTTTGAATTTAATGATTTTTTGAGCCATCCTCGGCAAAGTGAAAATGGAAAACATAAAAGTTCTGGAAACCAATGTCTATCCGAGGTTTTGTTCGGACATCCAGTCGAGATATGCGTGCATCTTGTATCTGGTGGTTGCCTTATTGTGATGGAGTTGGAGTAACTGTTTTGCTGGAGGGCAGGAAATGTCCTCTAAGTCTGGCACAAGAAGGGCTATACCGAGATAAGGCAGAGACTCCACTAGTCGACTGAATAGGGCCATTTGGTTTCTTCCCTTCATCCAAATGGTGACTGTCTCAGGAACAGGCTGGTTCTGCTCAAAGATGTCCAAGATGAATTTCTGGAGGAAAGAAAGGGGGCAGGTGTCCACTGCACACTGTGGCAGACCGGTGGAGTGGAGGGCTCAACCATGGAGCTGCGACTGGTATTGATAAGTTTGGATAGTGGTGGCGGAGCTGGTGAGTAGTGGAGTCGAATCGAACTGGCGGATGCGATAGGATTTTGTGGCCACGTCACCCAAAGCGAGGGCCTTGAAAAAGAAGGGCTCATCAGCGTGCTGGAATCCGTTGGCCAACGCAATGACAGAGAGATAGGCCATGATGCTATTGTGAGTCTGTGAAACTGGGTTAAACCTTGCTTAACATGAGCTCAAATCGAGATTTGTAAGTGAATGATCGGCAAACCTGTTAACTACATAAACTATGTTTATTATATGTTACATCAGTATTACAGAACTGTTAAAGGGTCTTTAGAAATGTCTTTCTTCTTAAACAAAAGCTAATTGATGCAATATAAATAATACTGAAGTATCTATAAAATGATCGGCACAACAAGTGTCATTGATTACGTATTCAGTGAACATAATATCAAACACACAAAGAAGTCAGTACCTTGGAAGTCAACACGATGGCAAATGAGATTTGATTTGTTCTTTTTGTAAGCTTGATGCTTACAATTACGGATTTAGCATCATATGTAACTTCTATAAACAGAAGTTTCTCTCCAATAGCATTGTTCTTTAAAAACAATACTTCTTTTTGTATCCATTTCTTAGGAATTTTACTGGTAACTTTCAGTGCAAGTCATTTTACTTTATCATCAATGATTTCAATATGAACTGACAAAGCATCTGTGTACACATATTAGCTTTGATCATAGCACCTTTTGTACAACGTGCAACTCTAGATGTTCTTGAGTGCTTGGCTTATTTTTTTAATACAGATACTTGATTTGCCGTAAAGTGACATCGGGGCATCTTGCTTGTTCTGTTCAACGTCATTTCCAAAATAAACTTTTCGTCATTACTCTCTGTTATGGTAGTTGGCCTTGTAGTTGAAATGTTTTTACGATCAGAGCATATCTTCAACTGAATATTGGTCAACTTGCAGGATAGGCCTTGCGTTATCTTTGGGATCTGTTCTTCAATCCAGGGGAGTATAATGGGTCTGTTGTGTCCGATAGCTGTCGCATCCACTATCTGAAGGTGCTTTGGCTTATGTTTCCTATGTGCCTCATTTGTTACAAGTATTGAGTAAATCCAATATTGAAACGAGTTCTTCGTCGCCATCTGCAAGCTGTGTATGTGAATACTGCAAACAAAGACCAACAAAGGTTATGTCGCTCACTACTATGTTCTGACCGTCTTAAGTGTAGGCGAAGTTCACTAGTTTATTGCAGTTCTACTGCTCAGGATTTGCTTTAAGAAAGGGTTCTTTCAAGGAGAGTAAAGTAAGCCTTCCTTTGATTATTCAGGATCTGTTTGGAACGTCAACGTCATGTAATGTAATGTATTACCCCAAGTTTGCTTATTACGCACGTAACCTATAACGTGCATTATAGGTTACCCCACCCCTGTACCTCCGGGAGAGCTTGCTCACAGGCTACCTACAAAGCGTTTTTCAGTTGGCTTGGGGAAACTGATCGGAGAGCTGAATTTTGGTTTTCAGAGTGGGATATTGAAATACTAGTTATCTGGCAGCAGCTCAAGTTTGAGCTTTGTCATGAACGTTTTAGGGAATGGGTGATTCCAGAAAATATCCATACCATACCACGGGCGGCATCTTGGAATTCCGAGGGAGAGGGGGGGTTTCTTGGACTGGAATTCCGAAGACGTGGGGGGGTAATGCAGTTTGGAATTCCAAAGGCATGGGGGGGTGTTTCAGCTCTGAATTCAGTGAATTTCCAGAGGAAAGACGGCGAAAGCTCCGCTTGAAATCGCTGACCTGTTAACATTCCCAGTTTGTAAATGAAGCACGAACCGACCACGGAAGAAGTATGCGTTCATGCAGATGGGTAAGCAGATGGGTTGTGCAGCAAGCTCCACATCGAAGAGGCCTTAAAGTTGATGAATTAGTCAACTGATTAATAAAAATATAACCAAGTTGGTGTTTCTCGCCGATTGTCGATCGACGATGTGTTGTTGCGTGCTGAAAACTCGCACCAGTCTCTCGTTTCCAAATAGAACGCCTGACAGATTTTGTATTTCACGCCTATTTTCACGCCAACATGTAGGTAGTAAAATCCGACAGCGTGCCTTTTGATGCGCTGTTTAATTCAAAACTGTTTATGCGCAAGTGTTTTGATCATTCAGTTCTAAATAGTTATTTTTCCTCGAAATAACTATTTATTCCAGGATATCCTTAAACGGACGTATATTTGCCAATAGAACTGGAAGAGTCGGGGAGAGGTTTAATTACCTAAAAAAATTATAATATCGAATATCGATCGTAAACTTTACTCTTGTCAGCGTCCACTGGTATCAATACGATCTACTCCTGAAAATATGACGGTATTGAATGGAAAACAAAAAGTTCTATTAGGTGGTAAGCAGCTTAAAGATAATGCTTAGAAGGAATAGCTACGGTGTACTAACGTTAACAAACTTGAGTTGCTTGATCGTCTGACTAAAAATTGTGAACAGAATTCTTTTCCAGAGGGAAAAAGTGCAAGTTTCTCGTTCGTTTGAGGATTTAGGCAGACAAACAGGAATTCCAAAGGGTCTGAAACAAAAGTGGAAAATTCCGGAGGAGAGGGGGGGGTTAGCGATTTTGGAATTCGGAGGGCAAGGGGGGGATAAGCATTTTGGAATTTCCGAGGGCAAGGGGGGGTTAAAATACTCATGCCACCCGTGGTAGGGTATGGATATTTTCTGGAATCACCCAATGTTTAATAATAATGCTACATAAGCAGCCCCTACAGGAACGAACGGACAGTCTAGCCAAATGATGACTTTTCCAAGAGTCTGTCCTTGTATTTTGCATATCGTTGTGCTGTAAGCACATTTACTGGAAAAAACGTTCGTCATTCACCCTGTTCTGTGATTTCTGTCATCAAATAGATAGCTACTACGTTTCCGTCGGGCAATTTTAGAAACAATGTCTTGTTATGAAAAGTCAATGCTATTGCAGTTTGCCCATTGACTACCCCGTTTTTTTTTTTTTTTCTGTTTCTCGTTACTATCAGTTTCATGCCTCTATACACAGGAGACATTTCTAACTCATTGTCGTACTGAATAATAGCTAATGCAATTTGGCCACTGAAAAGAAAGTCAATAGCTATAGAATTCACTTGTTGCACTGCATTTCTTGAAACTGTTAAGACTAATGCCTCTGAATGCGTTATAAGAACATCTCCTAGTTCTTGAATTGAAGGTACGTTACTATTGCACAGTGTTTGTCTTCTAAACAGTTCTTTTAAGAACTCTCTCGATGGCTTATAATATCTCAGGTAATTTAGATCTTCCTGTAGCAATGGATCTCTATATCTATGCTGTTGTAGAAAATTGACCACAATACAATTTCTGTAGAAATTCGCATCATTAAGAATACCCGTTGTCTGTTGTGTTTTTCCTTCAACCGTTTCTATAGGTTGTTCTTGCTTGTCACCGCACAACACTACTACAGGTCTTACATGCAATTGATTAAAAGTATTGTATATGTGACTAAAAACTTTAGTAGGTACCATTGACAATTCATCTATTACAACAAGATCGTATCTTCCTAAGTCCCAGTTGATCTGTGGTCTCTCGTTTTCATTGACAGGGTATCAGAAGAGACTATGGATTGTATCACAGGCAAAATTATCATCTACGAATTGATTTCTATGTGTTGATGTCAAAATTCCAGTAGGCGTAGCACAGCAAACGTTATATTCCTGATCGATGTCATGTTGAATTACTGCCTTTACTGCAAAAGACTTTCCAGTACCTGGTTTTCCTTGTACAAGAAGAAATTTTTTCCAATCTATTCCTGTTGCTGAAGCAAGATTTTGTTCGTATTCGTCAACGTCTTCAGTTTCGTCGGACGAATCATCATCTAATACACCTAGATTTGCCTCGGGAATGTCGTCATTAGCCTCCGTTCTTTGCCTTAAGAAGTCTTTGGCAATAGCTAATACTCTTGACTGATTTGGAGCAAGGTTAGTCATGTCAACGTTTTGTTAATTTCTTACAACAGTTATCGTGCCTATCACTTGTTTTTGCCAAAGATGATAAAAATCAAATCTGCTTCTTACATATTGAATAATATTTTCGACGTAATATTTTTGTGGCCTTGAACATCGAAGAACGATCTTAGTTTGTCTTCATCTCTCCAAAATTCTGATCTGAAGTTGATTGCAGCTGCAAAATGTTTAATTTGATCTGGCAACCTCTCACTGTCTGGATGTAGCAAATCACTACGTTGTCTATGTGGATGATTCAAAACTAAGTCCTGATAGAAATAGTCGTCACAAAAGACTGATCTTGTTTTTGTACCTAACAAAGTGTTTCTGCCTTTATAGGACTTTGGATTGTTCGGAGCATCGTTAAAGTCTCTTAACCATTGTTTGTAAGAGAAATCTTCACATTCAGGGATTCTCTTTAGATACTTTTCATAACTCTTTGGTTCTTTCAATTTCATAGTGTGAACTGTCACATTTTTCGTTCTGCTTTTGCTCCAAGAAATTTTTTTAGATGTCAAAGACAATGCCATTTCTGGCTCTAATGGTCGCATTCCTTTTAAATGTCTATAAGCCGCTTCGTAAGGACCTACATGTTTAGAATACATGGCATCGCCATCGTATGCATCGTGCTATTTTGTTACATAACTAGACGCATACTTTAAAATCATACCTTGGCCATCCGTACTTTGCACATCCATTCTGCATTTCAATGCAGGTGTTACAGTAGAAATGTACCCTCTTAAGTTTTTAACAAATGCTTCTTCAGGGTGAAAAAATGAAATGTATTCATGTTCATTTAAATTCAACATGCTTGTCGGTTCGTCGTTTTTAGGAAGTGCACCTTCTCTTGAAGGTTGCAGATTGCACACGTCAAAGGCAAGATCTAAATCATTCCGCAGTATATCTGCTCTCAATAAATTTGGTCTCATTGCTTTCACCTTTTCCAGCCAAACTAGCATATGTAAATGAACCGTTCCTCTTTGTTGAAATTCAAAGCGATGAAAATAGGTTTGAACGTTGTCATCTTTACTCCTTGCATTTGAAAAGACATGGTTTTTCCATCTCTGTGTGTTAGAGCCGCATAGATAACCTCGGACCAATTGTTCTAATACATGGACTATGTGCAATGTTTCTAGTGTTGGTATATTTCTGGCACTTTTGCCTGTCTTTGTCCTAAGATTTTCTAACCAAGGTGGACAAGGAAAAGTCCATTCGAAAGGCGAGATTGTTACAAAAAGGCTAGGTGGTCCAAATTGTTCTACTGCATCCATCAGGTATCTATGCTGCCATTTCCAATACTCTGAAGAAAACGTTTTTGCTTCTAAAGCTTCGTTAGGTGAACATTTTAATTTCCTTGCACATGCTATAGCTCCACTAACTGTTTGCCATAACCACAAATCGTAATGGAAATGTAACAAATCATATAACATTGCGTAGTCTGTTATTTGTGACGTTAATTTATGCCAAAATAAGATGTTCGTGCTGATTCTTCTTTCGTTTCCTCTTAAGAATGTTTCGCACCAGTCATCATACGGATACAAATGTGGCCATAGAGCAGTTTCTATTTCACTTCTTTGATTGTAGTCATAAACATTAAATTTCCATTCTTTTCGTAAGTAAAAGTGTCTCATTTTTATGAATTGCTTATAACTATTTCCTTCACAGTTCAAGAGCCATTCGAATGCTTCAGAAGCTTTTGTTGGTCCTTTTCAGGCAGTAAGGAAATCTTTTCTATAGGGTCTTTTTCTGACCAAGTCACTCTGAACATTCCTCCTTTCTTAATGTACCCATTGTTTTGTCGTTGCAAATCTCCCAAATGAACATCACATGGTCTTAGTGCTTCAATTTGATTTGTTTTCAAGTTTCGTAATTGTTTTGGTATATCTTTGTATTTAGGTACCTTGTACCTGTCTGCTTTACAGTCACATTGTTTGATACATTTTACTTCTTTTCTTTTTTGGAATGTAGGAAGCAGTTTTTGTTCTATCAATCGTCGACAGTTATTACAATAAGTCCAACTTCCATGAATCATCCAAAACTCTAAATTTTTCGATTCCTGTTTGTACAGTTCGGTAGGTGCCTTGTCACTTAATTGTTTATTTTGATTAACGGTCACAAAGTTTAATTTGTCATTTTTACGTTTTGCTTCTCTTGTTTTTCCATCTCTTTTGTATTGCCTTTGCAGTTTGCTTTTTTTTCGGATCCTTTCCCACGGTTTTCCATGATCTCAAAAAGCTAACGACTTAATTGCAGTCCAAATGGAAGGCATATTCTAAGTACTTGAAATTTAAATTCTTTGTTATCTGTTTGTCTTTTACTCATACATTTTTATATCGGATTCATTTCAAATTCTTTGACACTATTTGAAAGGCGAAGCAGACATATACGATTTTGGAATGACGGTAAGTTGGTTGTTATGTTCAAAATATTAGTATATCAAATAAAATTGTTATAGCAAATTGAATTTATTCGTAATTTTTGTGGCTTTTTCTTTTATTTATTCTTAAGTACAAAATTTGTCTTTGCTTTGTTGTTATTCAAAAAGGTATAGTCCGCTCCTTTGTCGATGAATATATGATTTCATAGCTTACTTACAGTTAAGCCTTTACCTGACAATGTTGTTTTTTCAAATTCGTTTTTTTTTTCAATTACAGTCATGCACAATTTGGTTTTGAAGCAATTCATTTCATTTTTTTTGTCTTTACAATCGTTTTCAAATTTTTCTGTTGTTATTTCTGCGCTTTACGGTAGGAATCATTTTACTAAACTTGAAGTAACTGCATAAACAAATGTCACTTACCTCCAGTCGTAAAAGTCTTGAAGCTAAAGGAAATTATTCAATTCTGTATTAGCGTCTGTTAACAAATTAATTACAACGATGACCTTCTTGACATTGGCGAAATAGATGTCAATGCTGCCGACGAAACAAACGATGAAGAAGAAAGCAACCTTTCTGAACCTGACCCTGAACCAAGCCAAAGATCTCCAAAAGACGCTAAAAAGAAGAAAGACAAGAGGGAGAACAGACGCGGAACCACCTCTTACAAAAAATACGAACCACAGGACCAGAAAAGAAATCAGAGCCGAAAACAGTGAAACACTGTCGGAAGAAAGAATAATAGAACAATCAGAGGAGGCTCTAACAACCCTGAAAAGGCATTCCCAAATAGGAACATGCCCAAAGACATTACAATACAAAGCACGGGCACGCGTAAGGGCAGATGAAGCCTTTAAAACAGACATTAAAAGGATAAGAAAAACAACAGAACAAGAGGTGGTGAATGCCCTAATCAGGTACCATGAAAGGAGAATAGCTGAAAGCAAAAAATCAGTCAAGCGGCAAAAGAGACCGACAGGAACTGTAAACAAGAAATCAACGGACAATAAGAACACTCATGAGCAAAATGTAAAAGAGATAGCTGAAACTTCTTTAAAAAGTTCAACGAGTTTAAAAACCTCATGAACACAATGTCATAAAAGTGGTGAAAAGTATGTCTGTCTACTTACTAAGTCCAACTTACATAACAAGGGTGTACAGGAAAACAACAAACTGTCAAAATAGGGCAGTAAAAAGCGTAAAGAACGCAAAACCTCAAAAACACAAGCTTATAAAAGAACACAACTAGAAAGAAACAGGGGGTACATAAAGAACTTATCCAGTCAAAACCTCACAGACCACGAAATAAATTTACTCTCTAAAGGGTTAAAATTCATACCCACACCATTAACAAAAGAACAACATATCAGGCGTCAACTTCTTCAGGATTTTGAGCAATTTGCTAGAAGAATGCGCCTGAAATATATCTTTCATGGGCAAAATAACAAACCACATCCTTATCATGTAAAATCAAACTGGATACCACAAGTTCAACCCTCGGTTGCACTCGAAAGTTATCTTGAAGAGGTTAAATTACAACTGGTAGAAATTAAACTGTCACAGCCAAGAAACAATCTGTCATCAAGAGAACGAGAAGTACTACAATCTTTAAAAAGAAACAAAGATCTTAATGTGAAAAAAGCAGACAAAGGTTCCTGTGTCGTTATTATGGACACAGAGAACAAAATAAACGAAGGTCAAACGCTACTTGACAACTCGAAACACTATAGACCTTTAGATGAACCGATGGTTAAGGAAACTCAATATAAAGTAAAACAACTAATACAAGAACTACATGAAAATAAAAACATTGATGACATGACAAAAACACCGAGCCCGCCTAGAATTCCCATATTCTACACCCTAACTAAAATTCACAAGCCTACACCAGTAGGTAGGCCAATAATATCAGGCTGTGACGGACCAACAGAAAGAATCTCAGCATTTCTTGATAGGCTGTTGCAACCTATAGCACAAAGACAGGCTTCTTATCTTAAAGACTCCACAGACTTCATTAATTTCATAGAAAGCACAGAAGTCCCAATGCACGAGATCATTGTTTTAATGGACGTGGCAAGTCTATATACCAACATTCCACAGGAAGAGGAGATCAAAACTATATGCAAAGCATATGTTACTCACTACAAAGATAAACCCCCGATTCCAACACAGTCACTTGAACGAGCGCTCAGACTCATTTTAAAATAAAATTCATTCAATTTTTATGGAAAAATTACCTCCAAACACACGGGACAGCGATGGGAACAAAGGTCGCTGTTGCTTTCGCAAATATCTTCATGGCGAAAGTAGAAACAGAGTTATTAAAAAAGAGCGCAATAAAGCCTATCTGTTGGAAAAGATATATAGGCGACATCTTCTCTCTCTGGGGTACCGGAAGAGAACAAATAACACACTTCATTGAACAAGCAAATAATCACCACGCCACTATTAAATTCACAGCAGAAATCTCTGAGGAAAAAGTCACATTTCTGGATACAATTGTGTACAAAGGCAAACGGTTTAACACTACGTCAATTCTCGACATACGAACGCATTTTAAACCCACTGAAACTTTCCAATATACTCATTTCACGTCTTGCCACCCATTAGGGGTCAAGAAGAGCTTTATAAAAGGCGAAGCCCTCCGGTTACTAAGAACAAATTCCTCAAAAGAAAACTTTCAAAACTGACTAGAAGAATTCCAGAAGCACCTTAGAGAGAGAGGTTATCCACGAAACTTAATAACTCTAACTCTCTCTGAAATACACTTTGAGAACAGGAAAGAAGCACTCCGACAAAAACCATCAAGAGAAAAAACCATTTTGCCCTTTGTCACGCAGTATCAACCATCAGTTCCCAGCCTTAAAAACATTCTTATGAAACACTGGCAACTGATAGACAAACAACCTCTTCTTAGACAGATCTACAAAGAACCTCCAATTATATCATACAAACGAGGAAGGTCTCTGAAAGATATACTCGTAAAAGCTGAACTCTGAGATTTAAAGGCTAAAACACGTGAGTGGAAAGCGCGAGTCAGGCTTGTCAACCCCTATGATATTTTATTGTTTTCCAAGGGTCTATTAGCAGCAAAGAAGGTCCCGGATTTTTCTCTATATCTGTGTGAAGTCTAAATTTACGAGTTTTTACTATGTGGTTACGAGTGTTATAAACTGACATTGGCCTATTACATGAAAAAAATGATATTTATTGACTAACTTGATAAAGATATTTCAACTTTAATATGCCTTGACAAAATCGCTTTGTCCACTTCTGTTGTTTTGAAACTGTTGCATTATTATTTGTCCCATAACTTTTAATTTTTCTGACCATTACATAACTTTGCAGGCTAGAGGATGTATGTGTATTTGAAGGAACAAAAATCATACACAATTCCTCTTAGCTTTTTGCTTTTCTTTGCTATATGTTTCAGAAAACATAATGGTAATCTACTGGGCTCACGATCACGCTTTTTATCTCTCCATGGCCTACCAAAATTAACATACTTTGCATAGCAAGATCTTGTATCTTCTATCACCTTTGTTGTTACCACAGAATCACTGTAAACATTTGCGGTCGATTGATTTCTTTTATCTAATACATCACCTTCTTTAAACATTGAAATAACAACAGCCTTTGTATAAACATCTAAATGCGACATGAGATGGTTGATCACTAAATACGCAATTACAATAATTAAAGAAAGATAAAATCCACGAAATTAATACAACAGGGTATTGTTACTTAAAACCTGGCAATTAAAGTACTGAATTCCCTTGTTGTTTCTTCTTCTAGAAGTCTGTTGTGTTTAACAGAAACACGCTGTTGAATTTCACTGATCCAGTTGCTAGTAATGTTTGAGTACCCAACAGTTTCAATTTTAACAGTAAATATAGAAGATTCGCTTAGTGATTCAAACACAGTAGGTAACTCACTTAATATACAAGTTTCTCAATAAAAGATTCACTCGGAACAGTTTGCTCGTAAATGGGTCTCTCGTATAGCTCATGAATTATGCCACTTCCAAAATGTACTCAAGCAATCTTTTATTGTGGGCTTACCATGGACAGTGTTAACATCCATATGTACATTAACCATATTAGAACTATGACAGCATTTATGTAAGCTTCAACCGAAGATAGATTGCTGGTCGCTTTGAGCTCCTCAGAATGTACTCTGCTGAAGACTGCTGACCTATTCTATGCATACTCTTATATCTCCCGCACACGCTGAACATGCCAGAGTGCAATTTGTGCCAGGAAAAACCGAGCCGAATTTATAACTGGGCTGTGCCAGAGGCAGCCCAGTAAAAAGCAAGAACAGTAAAGGCCCCAAAACTGACCCTTGCGGGACTCCAGATGTTACAGGGAGGAAATCAGATGACCTGTTATCTATCATGACTCTGTGTCTTCTACCCGATAAATATGATCTAAACCAAGCTAACAAGGATCCACCAATACCTAAGCGTTCAAGCTTAAACATGAGTATTTCGTGAGACATATGATAAAAAGCCTTAGAAAAATCTAAAAAAAATAACGTCAACTTGTTGTCTCCTCTCAGGAGCGTAAGTGAATTGATGAATAACTTGAGATAGTTGAGACAGTGCATTTTCCTGGTAGAAAACCATGCTGCCAGTGGGTAAGATGCGGGCAAATCATGTTAAAACCTGTCTTTCCAAAATTTTAGAACATCAAGAAGCGAAATGCCACAGTAGTTTGAAACAATTGTCTTAGACTCACATTTATGAATAGGGACAAGATTTGGATCCTTCTATTTTTCGGAAAATGTCGCAAGCTCTGAGGACAAATTGAATAATGTGTATAACAAAGATGAAATTTCATTAGCACATGCATGCAATAACTTACTGGGAAGACCAAGAGAAGTATTGTTAACGTCAAGTGATTGAAGCTGTCAAAGAATGTTGTTTGGGTTAAGGCACACTTCACATAATTCTCGTTTAACGCTGTAGTTGAGTCTGGGTAGACATACAGCAGCACTGCTAGAGTCAGGTGGGGCAAAAACTGAGTGAAAAAACAGGTTAAATAAACAATCTTGATCAATAGGTCTGGTAGCCTGTACAGATTCATGTTTAATTACCCCGCAAATTCTAGATGTTTGGTAATCACTTTGTAATATGACCAAGATTTGCGAGGATTGTCCCTTTAGGAACAACTAAACTTAGTGAGGTGATTACACTTTCCAAATTTAACCATTTTCTTAACCTGTTGTCTAAGTTCACAAAATCGTTCCTATAAATTTACAGAATCTTTTAACTTAGCTTTCCGCTGAGTTCTGTTCTTCTTTCTAATTAGCAATAATACCTCTCTATCAATCGATGGCGGTCTATCTGCATCTCTATTGAATGTCTCCTCATCAACATTGAACTGGGCAACACAAAAGGGAGCTAGGAGCAAAATGCCAGTGTTAACTATCTGAATCTGCTGTTCTGTTTTAGGGGGATTGTATAAGTTATGTATCTGCACTTTATGCAAGAAAAGACCAGCTTACTTTCCGAAAATTAGACAAAATGGAAACAGTGAAGCGTCATTTAACTACAGTGTGATATTCAAACTAGGGCCATACATGTATCTTTTGTTTATATTGTGGGCCAATATCATCAGGTACGCATATTATTAAGAATGTGCTGAGAGAAGGAAACTCGTTTAAATGTTGATATTCAGTTTTTAATGTGACCACCTTCAGACATCTTTCCAACTGTCTTTTTAATGTAACATGTAAAATCCTGGAATTACTGTGTAAGAACAGTTTGAATTCATTGAATAGTTTTGTAGGATGCTTTTAATTACAAAGTTAAGTTTGTTAATTGAAATTAAAGATTTCATGAAAGTAGTCTTAACAATTGTTGAATTGTTTCCATTCAGTGCTGGGGGATCCAGATCAGCATACTCTCTGGTAACAGAGACCCTTACAGCTGATTGAAGCAGTTGCAACTAAATGCAAAGTGGTTATTTTTCTTTTGCTAAAAACAACCTAACATTTTATAATCAAAGTAAAATAGTAATATATGAAGGCCTGCCTGTTTACTGATTGGACATGTATGTTGTAAGTGTTGGCGGTTCCAGCTCAAAACATGAGCTTCTTTTAGATCTATACAGGCAAGTACGACAATTGATCACAATGGCTGCGACAAGGTAATACTTTCCTGCTGGCTGGAGTAGAAGTTTCGGTTTTTTTTAAATCTAAGTAAGCAAAATTCTGGCAGATATTTCCAAAGCTCTATTCCATGCTCACTCTGACTTTGCTTATCTTTCTGTTGAATTCTGTTCATGGTTAGATTGACTCCTGGGAAAGGTGCCAAGATGTTGCATGTAATGGGGTAGGCTGGATCTGGGTGCCTGAATTCATAAACTTGATGTAAACTTTGATACTGTCCACTCTTTCGTTGAGCTTTATTGCAAGTGTTTCAAAGATGTGATCCAATATCTAGTTTATGTATAGTGCTCAACAACTGCACAATGTCACCAAGTGCAAATTTTTTGGGGGACACATTTTAGCTGCCATGTTAATTTCCTTTATTTTTGCGTTTTGATTTAAAAAAAAATTGGCAGATGACTGATGCCAAGTTGGAAAACATTCTCTCATCTATGCTAAAATCAAGCTTTGGCTGTCATATTTCAGCTGCTTAAGTATGTTCAATAAAAACAATTGCTTAGTTAGTTAGTTGCTTAGTTGCTTAGTTGCTTCTCCATCAGCAACATGTAACTCATTTTACCTGAAACTTTACGCAATGTGTGGAGGTCCTTTGGCATGTTTAACTTCTGAAAACAGTCCAGTGTCGATCCACATGAAATCCAGGCAATACATTAAATGGCTGTATCGATTGTGGATGTCATCCATTATCTATGATTCAAAGCCATTTAGGGGACCTGGTCAAAACAACTGTAGTCTTCAGGGACCCACTATGACCTACAGAGACTGGCGACTTCTTTTATAGCCCCCCTCTCCTTCCCAATAAAATGGTTCCTTCTTTTTATACTGCTCCCCCTGCTATCTTAAAAGGAATACAGCAAAATTGCTTGATACTGTTTGTGCAGCCTAACAGCTTCTTTCTCTGTTGCACCAGGAATCTTTGACTTGGAGTGTGTTCTTTCGTAGAAAGACCATTAATTTCTTTCGGAATAAAAGTTATTGCCTGGGTCCCCACTCTTAACTCGATGTGAAATTCAAGGACTTTTGCAGGACTTCCAGATTTTGCAACAAATTAAAGGACCTTCTGTTTCAAGTAAAACTTACACTATATTTTTCCCCTTCCAGGATTTTCGAAGACCCCAAGCAATGATTTTCAAGGACTTCCTTGGGCCTATTCCTTTCCAGGATTTTCAAGGACTGTGGGATCCCTGTATTTAATCATCATCACTGATAAGTATTATTAATATGCTATAATATAGTTATTAATTTTGTTTCAAAACCTCATTTTTAACTCGTGGGTACGCGCGAGCGTACCACGAGTTATTGCAGGGACTGGGATATGCAAATGAGTCACTCGCTCACTCGTAGTAGACGCACTTCGTAATTAATTGGGTCCGATCGAGAGCGTGAAGAACTATCGTTTCCAAAGAAGCACGCGCTCGCCGAAGTTCGGTGGCATCAAATTCCTCGCTGAGAGCGTGCATCGTGTGCTACAGCACGGTTAGAGGATAGAGGTCTTACCAAATTTAAGACACACAGGAATCTTTCAGATTAGTACGATTCAACAGCCTTTGACTCGTCCAGGTGTTAAACTTGACGAGAATGTAAGCATTTGGTCTTCGACTCCTTCAACTTCGACGCTGGCTTGATCTCAGCTACCTTGTAGTAGGTTATGTGTATGAATGAATGTATGGTAAATAGAGACACTTCTTCTTCTTCCTCTTCTTCTTAAGTACTCCCCAAGGGTACGGGGTGAAATGGATGTGATTTTGAGGATTAGCTTTAAAATGACAGCGGAAATCGAGATAAGAAAACATAAGCTTATGTTTTGCGTCCTACTTCGCGGAGGAGTTATGTCGGCTTTGTATCGCATATGTTCTTTCACTGCCATGAAATGCGTTTACATTGTTTTTTACTGTCAGTAGCCTGGTTTCAAGTAGCCTTAATTTCATCCGATTTCTTCGAGTCGTTTTTTCAATCGGTTAAGTGTGGCTCGATTGTTTGCCGGCGGAAGTTCCATGGAAAACGCATTAAATGTGAGACTTTTCACCAAATCACGTGATCATCCTCAATGGCGTAGTGACTATGTGAGATTGGGTCAACTCGGGGGCACCAGGTTCAAATTCTGCTAACAACCCTCTTTTTCCCTTCTGCCTTTTTTTTTTCTTTTTTTTTTTTT